CTAGGTACGGCTGATCAAGACAATACTCGGATTTTTCTTAGTGCTTCCGCTACTGACCATTGCTTCCGAAGCTGGCATTGGATGAACGAGTATGCCTAACTTGGTGACGATGTTAGTGTATGACTAAAACGAATTTATTAAGTTAGTGCAATTTCACTGCAATATTCTTTTGCACCTACCTCATTTCTCGCATATCTCCGTATGTTGGCCATCAAATCCATTTGGTAATTTATTATCTACTTGATTGGAAGCCTTTAACGAGTAGCATTCCACGCGAATATTCTCTAAATCGTTCTGAATGTTTTCGTCTGCGACTGCGCTTATGATGTTTAGCGCAAAGCCAAAGTCAGTGGTGTACACTAAAAGTATTTCACACCATTATTCGAACGTAGTATAAATTTTCATGTGAAATTTAATCAGATAGATGTATAAACTTTGCGTAACCAATCATAGATTAATTTTCATACTATCTTTGATTAATAATAATTTTGAGTGTTCATTGTTGAATAACAAATGCTCATAAATGGGTAATATTTTTATTCATATAATGGGTAGTCCCAGTCTCCCTCGAAAATGCTTACCTTTTAGTCATTATTGACGCATTTCGCGCCAAATCGAATCGAAGCTGGCGCACCCTCTCAGATTTCAATAAAATTTTCTGGATGTGTAGACTTTGACTAAATAAGCACTTTTGCATACTCAGTTTTTCCAAAATTTATGTAGACTAACATTTGAGAAGGACCAAACTTTTTGTGCCGTTTTTTTGAAAAGAATTTTCAATATGTCTCTCTCTCTCTCTCTCTCTCTCTCTCTCTCTCTCTCTCTCTCTCTCTCTCTCTCTCTCTCTCTCTCTCTCTCTCTCTCTCTCTCTCTCTCTCTCTCTCTCTCTCTCTCTCTCTCTCTCTCTCTCTCTCTCTCTCTCTCTCTCTCTCTCTCTCTCTCTCTCTCTCTCTCTCTCTCTCTCTCTCTCTCTCTCTCTCTCCCTCTCTCTCTCTCTCTCTCTCTCTCTCTCTCTTTGACTTACTCAATTCTTTACCAATTTCAATTACACTGCACGGGACAGAAAAATTACCCACACTTAAGTTCTTTTTAATCATCTCTCATGTTCCGTTCTATAAGCTTATTTAGTGTAAACCGCTTATAGTACTTCACATTTGACTACGACAAAAATAATTACTTTTCTCATGACTACTTTCTACCCAACATTAACTTCAATTCACTCAAATTAGAGAACATCTCATACACTCACTACTACCTTATTGAAAGATAGTCACGAGAAAGTCGAATCTTTCGTTCCGTTTTTGACAACAACAAAAAGCGAGAGTTGGATGCAAAACTCAAAATTACCCAAAATTAAGTAAAAAGAACTTAACTTTAGGATAACTTTTTTTTTCTCAGTGTATACTTTATCCAGGAGGATACCAATGAAGCATCTCAGGATTTTCTACATAGGGGAAATGCAGGTTATATCTGCCTAAGCGTCTCTACTTTGGGCCCATACATTAATTCAGCAATCGTCTAAATTTTCATTAGCAACCATAAATATCCATTAGTAATGTCCCAATAATGCGTTCAACGCCAATGTCATTGGCAACCATGTTTCTTCGAGCGGCTACAAATGACTTGAATGCTGTTGAGAAAAATTGAACGTTCGACCGGAATCTAATAAAAATGAAGTACGCGGCAACATTTTGCAGAAATAAAGCGAAGATGAGAGATGACAGTCGCTCCATATTTTTCTGTTTTGCTTGCAGCGCAATCATTTGTATTACCATAATACCAAATACATTATATTAACAATATGATCCACACTTTTGCTTAGCTGGCGAACCGAATTTTTAGCGATGAAAGCGCCTCTGTGGCCAAAAAGGCTACCAATGTATTTGTTTATTTTTACAAGGGATAAACCAAATGAATTTTTTTATTATATTTTAAATGTATGGGTACAATTTCACCTATTTTGAAGTAAGGTAGGTTAACCCATTTAACTGACATAACCCCAAGGCTGCAAAATGCGTGTCGATGCATGTTGACATGACTGGTTCTCAGCAATACAATCACCAATCGTTATGATTCAGCCACCAATCGAAAGATATGGCTATCTAATTTTATTTTGAACAGATAGAAAACCAATTGGACCTGTGGTTGGCCAGCCGGAACGGAAAAACCCGGAAAAGTCCCGAGCAAAATGCGTGTCGATTGAAGTTGACATGACTGGTTCTCGGTGATTTGGTTACCAAATTTCAAGATTGATAGACTATGCTCATGATTGTAAGCAATTTAGAAAAAATCGCGGATCTCTAGGTCTACTTTCAAGAATTTACTATTTTTCCGGTGATTCCGGATATCCAGAGGACCGTTTTCTGGCCACTTGGTTGCAGAATCGATATGTTGATGGTTTATTTCTTCTATGCTCATGATTGTAAGCAATTTAGAAAAAATCGCGGATCTCTAGGTCTACTTTCAAGAATTTACTATTTTTCCGGTGATTCCGGATATCCAGAGGACCGTTTTCTGGCCACTTGGTTGCAGAATCGATATGTTGATGGTTTATTTCTTCTATGCTCATGATTGTAAGCAATTTAGAAAAAATCCGTGAATCCGAATTTCCACAGAGCCACCTTTCGCGGGTGTTCCCGTTCCGATTTGCCAACCACAAGTGCAATCAGTTCGTTGTCTGTTTCGTTCGTAAGTAGATAGTTATACCTTTCAAATAGTGGCTCAATCTTGAAATTTGGTAACCAAATCACCGAGAACCAGTCATGTCACGCATTTTGCTCGGGACTTTTCCGGGTTTTTCCGTTCCGGATGGCCAATCACAGGTCCAATCGGGTATCTATCTGTATTAAATGAAAGACGATTGCCATACCTTTCGAATGGTGGCTATATCATAAAGATTGATCATCGCATTATTGAGAACCAACCATGTCAACCATGAATCGACACGCATTTTGCAGCCTTGGGGCTTTGAGGAAGTTTTTATGGCTTGGGGTTATGTCAGTTAATGAAAAATTACCAATTTTTGGATAACTAATACCCATAAATGTGTTATTGTTACCCATTAGTGGGTAAACGTTACTCATTAATGGGTAATTTTTTACCCATTTAATGGGTTAACCTACTTCACTTCAAAATGGGTGAAATTGGACTCATTAATGGGTAAAATAATATTAGAGTGAAATAGAGTGTATTTTAACTAATATATTATCGTTTCAGTAGAAAACCGGAAAATCCCACACGCGCCAATTGAATTTACTCTCGTTCTGTACGTTAAACATAACGTCGGACATAGTGCGCTGTATTCACACAATGATGCGCTATTCAGCGCACTATGTCCGACGTTATGTTTAACGTACAGAACGAGGGTAAAATCGAATGTCGCGTGTGGGATTTTCCGATGTCCAACTTGAACGACAGTAACTAAATTGAGCAACATGTTTGCAATAGGAAATTATTTGCGCCTACACAGCAAAAAAAAATGTAATATCGATCAACGTAATTCAAGCTGATGTATGAAATAATGATGTAAAAGCAAAAAGCAGATACAATATTACATCAATGGATGTCATTTTGTTCGCAAAATCGATGTACATCGTACAATGTGATATTACACAACCGATGGATTGACCTGGTTGCAGCAGTTTCGATGTAATATTCAACAACTTTTTTTGCTGTGTATGTGTAGTTGTGTGTGTAGTTGTGTCGTTGACGGCACCGTCGAAAAATTTGCTCTTTCAGCAAATAAAGACACATTCTTATAGAGATTTTCACGTCCGATTGTATTGGTGCGATATGTGAGAGCGTGTTAGTGAATATCCGAGGAAAATACATAACAAATTCGATGTCAAACTCATTTTGACAGATCTACTTTCATACATTTTTTAGGTTAGCCAGAGGAAAATAATAAACAACTTTACACGGCGTTGCCCCCGCTAGTGTGCGTGCGTTAAACGTCGCTAATCTCTATTGGAATTTTTAGTGGAGTGAAAGGATAGTGCAGAGTCCGCGCACAATCTGACGTTTGCTTATGGATTTTCTCATAGGAGTAAAGAGCTACAGAGTCGCCGTCAACGCCAATGGTTTGCTCTAGAGTCGGTGTATAATGAGTCACGCCAAGAGTGAAGCCAAGTCTACCTATTGAACTGTCAAACCGGCTACCTATCGCGCAAAGTACACAAACATTACGATGCTATGAAAGATCCACGAAAGGTATTGCAATAAAATATAAAATATAATCGAAGAAATGATCATAAACACGCAGTGAGCAATAAATTGTCATGGGATACGTTTGGTAATGATCACTTATGAGAATTTCTACTATTTTTGGTTAAGATAATTTGACTAAATCACTGATATAATGATTTACTTAAGCCGCTATATTTTTTTCTCGCTGGAAGTCATTTGAAGTTGATGTAGAAGTCCTCTGTTGCAAAGTGAAAAGAAAGGGAATCTTTCGAAAACCGTGATGCGAGTTCAACTGTTTTTCTCTTGGCGTGACTCATTATACACCGACTCTAGTTTGCTCTACACGCTTAGTTCAGTTCACCCATAAATAGGTAGTTGATTCACCCATATTTGGGTTTCTGATACAATACCTACAATATGGGTAAATAATACTGACAAATTTGAAATTTACTTACATTGTGAGTAAAGCGACTTAACCCAAATATGGGTAATTAAACTTTACCCATATTTGGATGAAAAACTTAACATTGTCAAAACCGTCAACTTTCGCTTTATGTGCGTGTGCGATGCAGTATTAATTATCCGTCGTAGCAAATTACATTCCGGAAATTTAATCGAATTTAATTCCGTAATCAAATTGCCGTAATTCGTAAGTAGCTTGGTGGAAATTCTACATTAGTTGGAGGAGGAGGAGAAAGCTGGAGGGAACAAGCTTACCTCGCCGTGTCATCATCCAGCGTTTTCATTGGTGGCTGGTTAGTAATTTTACGGAAGTAATAGTAATTCAATGTTTTTTTTTTTCAATTTTCCCTTCTAGGTTCTGTGCTGCTTCGTAAGACCCCCTTTGATAGGTAAGTATTTTGCATGATAGTTGATTGACCGATATTTACATTATTTTTTCCACTCACTGGAACTATTTAGCTGACTTTTAAAAGTTCCGAAACGGTCAAAAACTGCACTTTTGCGGCGAATAGTCTCGGTACCTTTGGCGTACTTATTCCTTGCTTTGTGAGTTGTTACGCGGAAAAGGTACCGAGACGATTCGACGCAAAACCGCAATTATATGATCGTTTCCATTTTTATAAAATCTTTGAAATAGTCCAGTTTGGTGGTACATGTTTAATATTTGCTACAAATAAAATACAATTTAAACAAAGCATTTTGATTTTTTATTTAATCCGTTAAAATTTCAGAAGAAAAAATTAAAATATTCACCCAAATATGAGTTAAATTCACCCAAAATAAATAATCCATAAATAGGTAAAAATTACCTACATTATTCGTAAGGTGCATGTACTCATATATGGGTAAATCAACTTTACCCATAAAATGGGTATGTGCACTTTTTCGCGAGTATGGGTGTTCTTCACCCATATTTGGGTGAACTGAACTAAGCGTGTAACAAGATTTTTTAAGTGACAAGGAGTACACGGTTAGAAAAAAGTCCCCAAAATTAAGTTCTTATCACTCATCTCGGCACTATAGTGCAGGAACCCAAAAGCTCGCCCAAAAGTAGGTAAAGCGGATCAAAGTAATTTTCATTTACTTGTGTGCAGTTCGTATGGAATTTTCCACTAGCTTTTGCACGGTAACCGCAAAATACCCAATAATGACTACAAAGTAAGCATTTTCGAGGGAAACTGGGACTACCCATTGCTTTGGATTGTTTTTCCGTCGATCTTGTTTTCCGTGCTGAGCACCAATGGTACCGACGTGCCAGGAAGGCAGCTCCCACACCTGGACCCTACCTATCGACCCATCAACTCATGAACCGGGGACCAACGGCTTTACTTCCCATCCGAAGGAAGGCGTGATCAGAGATGTTATGCCTCAGAACATCCCGGCGGCGCCGACTGGGATTGAACCCAGGCCTGCTGGGGTGAGAGGTAATCACGCTTACCACTACACCACCGGCGCTGTTGGACTACCCATTAAATGAGTAAAATTTTACGTTTTTAAGTCCTTTTTCAGGATCTTGGAGTATTTAAAATACACTAAAATAACATTAAACACGCAAAATAAACCTCACACCGCCTAAAAAGCATTAAATATAACAATTATTACAATTGTGGGCCTTTGATTGCCCAGTTAGTTAAAGCACATTATTAGCAAATAATAAATGTGCAAGTACTTCCAACTTGAACTTAATGAATAGCGCTTTCTGCACCGACATTTTGGTATGTTGTTTCTATCTCAGTAGCATTCGCATCCAGCGATCATTGACGAAATCAACAATTTCACCCTAGGTAAGTCTCGCACTTCCATTTTCGAACTCAAAACAAACGTTACTCTTAACGTCAACTCCAAACATCATCAAACATTATTGTTTCAAACAATAACATGACAATCATCGATCGAGCTGCAGCCAGTGAACGATGTACCCGGTACAATAGCCTCTATCGGCAAATTTTTTTTTCTATCTTAACGTTATGATCAGTTTTGTGTCATCAGCAAAGGTTTTCGAATGGACAAGATCCATTCAGTAGTAAACAGTTTAAAGGGTGTTACGATCAACATTTGGTCAAACAAGAATGCGTGTGAATTGATTAAATTTCTATTAAGAAAAAAAATTCAGCTATGCTTCCGATTGACCGACACCGAGCTGCCGGGCTTTTCGTTTAATTCCTGCCATCAGATTCTGTACAGCCACCTCTTCCACTTTGTTTGCCGCAGAACATCAGTTTGCCTTGAACTAAACGATGGCCCAATATTTTTCGATTGGGCGAGGCTCTGGCGTGTTGGGAGGGTTCTTGTGTTAGGGCACAGCCTGCACGTTGTTGGATGCCAAATCCGGCCAAAATAGCACGGAACAATCGTATTTCTTCAGGAAAGGAGCAAATGTTTTTCCAGACACTAGATCACATAAATTACCTGGTTTGCGGTACCAGTTGCAATGAAAATGTCGCTTTTCAAGCCACAGGTACAGATAACCTGACAAACCAGATATTTCTTAGCAAGCTTCGACAGTTTCATATGCTTGAAAATGTTTACCACAATTCCTGGTTTCCGTATAAAACTCCTGTACCGAAAGCTGTTTGAAGTCTTCCTTGCGTGCGAGTAGTTCGGATGTCCGCGATGCGCGTGCAAAATTTTGATGCATTGCTCCTCTTGCTTGAACGTCAAAACTGAAGAGCAAATGTCAAAATCAAAATAGAAGCATCATTCAGCACACACACATCTACAAAATGAGGGGTGTTCAAAGAAATGCGTCCAGTTTAAGTCGTCCAAGTTTTGATCGTAGCACCAAAGGAAGTTGGGAATTAACTCACTATTTGGCGCAATAATACAAATAAAGTTCATAATGTAATAACGCAGCATCGAAACCGGATAGAAGTTTCCTGCCATCAGCAAAGTTGTTCAAATGGGCACCCCGTATTTCGATCGACCTCCCCCTATAATTTTGAAAATAAACATGTTTCAATGCTAATTCACCCATGAAACTATGAATGGTGTTCCAATGCAGCTTTATAGAAAGTTCTGTCCAAAATGAAGTATTACAAAAATTGCAAAACAACATTTTGTGGTGATGTGTCAAAAATAGAAATTACTTATAATAATTAGACATCATAAAATAAGGATTTTGGAATTTCCCAATATTGTTTTCTACAATTCCTGCATTGAGGCATAACTAATAATGAATAATTGAAACACCAATAACAAAGAATATATAACTATTCCCTATAATTGTTCAAAACTAATTTTCTTAAAAACTCACATGGGGCAAGAGTGCCACCCCTATATTTATGAATTAAATTATACAAAAATGCAAAAGAAATTGCTTCATTGTCCATTTTAGTCTTCGGTAAGCTTGTTTACACCAAATTTGACAAAACCAGTTACATAAAATATCAACAACAATAGTTTTCATTTGATTTCATTGGTAAACATAGTTCATTTTATATGCACACTAATCCAGGCCTCTGCCGATCGGTAAATTTTGAACTACAGAACTGTTCGGTAAAAGTTTGAAAATCTTTCATATACCCAATATTAGTAAATGTATTCCGAACTTATGCAGACTTTGTTAAGATTACCCCATTCAAAATCAAAATCAGAAAAAAATCAGATTGACCGCCCACGGTTGCTGCTCTGTTATTACCAGATCAGCTGCAATTACACAGAGAACCAACAGATGATGTTTGGGACTAACATTCATCCTCAATGTGTAAGAACTGGAGATCTAATATTTAGCAATACCAGCGCCGGCCGTGTCCGAATGCAGGTCAACTAGGGAATGGGAAGGAATGTGTTGACGTGGTACTCGCTGTGAAGGAAACCGAGAAATCCTCTGCGCTTCCACGAGAAATCACTGGGATGTTGGATGTGAGGAAAGGTTGCACGCACACGCAGGGATCGTTTTTTGGTAGAGCGATTATAATACACAAACACACACACACACACACACGCGCGTGCACTCATCCAATTTCTATTTTTAGATCAGGACCCACACACTGTGGTAAGTGATGCGACCGGTGTTAAAGAAGAATTTGTTTTCATTTAAAATCTAGTGGGTATAGAATAAGGCAAAGTGAAAAATTGCAAGGAAGGGGACGGGCTTGGGATTGAACTCCCGACCTTCTGCTCAGTAAGCAGAAACGGTAACCACTGAGCTACCGAGCCTCGTCACTTTGTTAAGATTACCCCATTTAGCCCCATTTAGCTAAAAACAAAATTAATTTGACAAATTTATTGATTTATCACATTTAACGGTCATTGGAAAATTTTACCGACTTGATCTGCTGTTCAAAAACCCGGTAAAACTCTACTGACTTCGGTGAATGACCGGTTATTGCCACTTTTATTCATGTTCTATGGCTTTTTTCCTTAAAAAATGACAATTTTCTAATTCTAAATTCTCGAGTTAAAAAAAAGATACCTCTGCCATTTTTTTCAGCAAATATAGAACCACATTTCTTCTTTCCATTACTTTCAATAGATTTGAAATTGGCTTGCGTGTTTTAAAGTTATATTAATTTGAAAAATACTCGTTTCTTACTTTAAAAATGACTATATATTTTGATTAGTTGGTCCAAACGTCATACTTGAGTAATCAAAATGTTTTTTTATAAAGTTCTAAAAGTGTTTTGAAAAACATTTTTTTTCTAAATACAAAGCAAAAAAAGTTATGGTCAAACAACTGTTTTTTCATGAATCACCCTAATCTTCTAGTTGTTTCAGTTCGTAGAATGCGTAGATGATGAGATAAAAATTTGACGCCTCCAACAAAGTTGCTTGGATTTGCATCTTCTACAACTTTGAAGAAGTCAAAGAAATTCCCAAAAAATTGGTGAGAAACAGCTTCATTCAGGATAGCGATAAGGTCAGTTGGGGTTGGAAGCGAGCGGATGGCATATTGATTTATCAGTGTTGTGTATGAACATGTTTAACATTTATTTCAGTGTCAACATTTCAAAGGGGCGCAATTGCATTTGTAAACAATGGCTTTAGCCATCGTTTTCTCGCGAATAAAAGCATTCTTATGAAAATTAATAAGACCAGCAGGTAGAATAATGTTTCCTCTACCAGCTAGCATTGTTAATTTGAAGGGATGGGCTTTTATTTGCGAGAAATCGATAGCTCAAGCCATTGTTTTCAAAAGCAATTACGCCCCTTTGAAATGTTGGCACTGATTTGTTGAAATGTGGCTTGGATAAATTTTAATCGGTGATCGTGCAATGATCGCATCAAAAGGAAGGAAGTGCTATTATCAGGACAAGGTTCGACCTCCAGAACAGGGCCACCGACTATACCACCGAAAACACTGTTAGCTATTAAACGATATAAAGGATATTCAGTACATTCCTCGAAACTCTAGAATGAAAATAACGTAAATAAAATATTTACTGTTTTG